ATATCTTCTTCTTGTAAAATTCCTCTTCCTACTTCTACATGTTGGAATTCATGGTTTAAAATGGTTGAGTATACAAAAATACATATACTCTATTGGAATTCCTTTTTTCAGGATGAAATAACCAATGATTCAACAAATGAAACACTTAAAAATATTTTAAAAACTCTTTCTGATCCTTTCAAATTTGGTACAATTTCAGTTTATATTCATTTTATTTCTATATATGCAAGACAATTCATACAAGATACTGATTTTTTTCAGAAACAAAACAAGCCTATATTTCCATTTGTAGAGGGACGCCTTAATCATCTTTCTGCATTTTTAGAAAGTAATTGCAATTCTCAAGATTTTGGTCCAGATCTTGATAATACTATTATTTCACATTATTTTAACCCACCTGATTTTTATCCTGTTTTTCGTTTAGCTTTTGAAGCTGCTTTTAACAAATTTAATGCTCATATTCCTTCACATCCTACACGTTCACTTTTTTTGGCTGCCCAAATTTTTGATCCTAAATATATTTTACTTGGTCCATTGGAAAGAAAAAATTTACGTCAATATAGTGCTATTAGAGAATTAGCAAACCCTTCAGATGAATTACTTTGTGAATGGTCCATTTATTGTGGGTTGCAATTGGAAAATTCAGTTGGAGAAATTAATTTAGAAGAATATTGGATGAATTTTGGAGATAAATTACCAATTCTTTCAAAAATTGCACTTGATTATATTTGGTTACCTGTATCAAGCTGTAGTGTGGAAAGAAGTTTTTCAATTTATAATAATATTTTGGATGAAAATCGACAAAATCTTTCAGAGGATTCTTTGAAAGGATTAAATATGATGTATTTTAATGGAAACTAATTGTAAAGTCAAATAATAAATAAAATAAAATTTGATTTTAATAAAATTTTTTATAGCCGAAATGAGCAGAATTGCGAAATAAATGAGCAGAAAATGCGCCGAAATAATCATTTTAAGTCCGCAGAAGCAGGGCAGATCATAGGTTAAATCGCCGGCAGATTTTATAAAATTTCGCCGCAGAAATTCATCATCCCTGTGTTTGGGTAAAAGGGTCTTTTTGTTCTTTACAACTAGGCGATATATAATTCCAAATTATTATTATTTTTTTGCATATCCTATCCACCTGTAATTTTCAGCCAGATCCTCAACCAAAAATATCTTTTCGAATTGACCGTAAGATAGTAATAAACTACTTATAATTGGCATGCCTATTAAAGTAACCACTCCAAAAACCTGAAGGAAACCCAAAGCTAATGACTTTAAATCGATTCTAGAACAGTTCTTAGAAAAATATAACTTATCTACCGAGTCCAGCCCAGAACATTAAGTGAACATAACAAAGAGCTTGATGCATCATTGCAGGATCAGAATGCTCGAAAATGTGTTAAAAATCTGCTAACCTGACGTAAATATAGTAAAGAGAAGAAAGAGGCTCTCCTACCCGATAAGAGAAAAGAAAAACTGACAATAGGGAAAAGGGTGGAATATTGTGCTAAAGCCGGTAATAAGTGGGTCATTTTCCGTCATAATATGGAATTAGAACCAAAAAACAATAATAAAAAAGAAGTTATAGCATCCGCCTCGCATCAACAGCAATTCTGAGGAAAATTAGCAAAAGCCGGAGTGGATCCTGAAATTATTACTAACTATGCCAGAGATCCAGCTCTTATTTAACAATCTAATAAAATCCAAAAAGAGCGCTGACAGCTACGTGAGCTCTTCGATGAAAATGATCGATAGATTAAAGGAGTTTATCAATTTTATTTTTTCGCCCAGGCAAGATATATCATATATAAAATATCGCAAAAATGGTAACCGATCAAAATCATTTATCTGATAGTGCGTCCATTGAGCAGAAAGTTATCAGGTATACAGAGAAATTAGCCCAGTCATTAGGACTGGATGAGCAGAATACAAGAGCATATAAAGCACTCTCTGGACAGATTTGGGCGTTAGAAAAAAGACTGGAAGATTATCATATCAAATATGTAAAGCTTAAAAGAAAGGTCAATTTATTGGAAGATGAATTGGAGGATGAATTGGAGGATGAATTGGATGATCTGGACGAATGTGTAGATAGGGGAGCTGTAGTCGACATAATAATACATGAAATAGTTCCCTCGCTTATTGGTAAAAAAGGGTCGAGAGGTGCTGTGCATAGAGGGAGTTCCTCTTATTCATCTGAATCTTTTGAAGGATCTGATTCGGTTAAGACAATTGTGATAAAAGAAAACAAGGCTATCCCTCATAAGCAACAAAGAAGGGCACGACCGAGAAAGGTTAAGCAAGTGATAGTTTAAAGACTCCCTCGAATAAATTCTTCGGATGGAAAACATTCACCCTGCAGATCAATAGATCAAAGGAACGGGTTGTGCCTGAACTTCAACAAGAAGTCTATATAATTAGTCTTAAATTGACATTGGATAGATTGGCATGAGAGCTAGAGTTTGTGCAAAAGATGATTATTCTTCTAAGTCAGCCAGTCTGGAGCAGTGATCACCAGCTCGGAAGATTTTTTTGCGCCCTGTGTGATAAAAAATATAGATTAGCTAACCTGTTCTAGACATGGGCATTGACCGGCACTAGATGGATTTTTGATGAATATTTCGTGCAATTGTTGAGGAGAGAGCTTCAGAAATAATGGAAGCTCATCTCCAGTAAACATAATTTTCTTTACATCCATTTCACCATATTTCGGAAATATCACACCTGGATCATCCTCTAAAGGACCATGAAACTCCTTAAGCTTCCGGAGACATGCTCTCATATTTTCATCAACTTCTTCCGCCCTTTCTTGATTAGAATAGCCAACAATGTCGAATTTATCCTGAATTGCTATTATATCCTCTTCCAAACACATAAACAAATTAAATATTTCACCAAATGGAATATCTGTAGAAGTTTTATTGCTTCAGAGTACCTCTTCTAGAATGGGATTACCATCAATGTTGAGTTTCTCCTGAATCGGTATTAAATCCCCTACTAATTCTAACAACAGCTCGTAAGAATCGGCAAGTGTTTTCCCCATGAGCTCAGAATCTGGAGGCACTACTAATTCATTTGCATTGCCAGGGCCAATACCGAGTTTCTCCTGAATAGCTATTATATCCTTCTTCTTATATAAAAACAGTCCATAAAACTGAGCAAGTGTTTCGGGATTATTATTTGCCATGATTGCTATAATAAAGTAATATATTTAATGCAGAAAATTTAGCAAAGCACCTTAAGGGCCGAGTTCGGAATACTGATCATCAACCCAGATCACTTCGCTCGAAAGAAGAATTTGCTGGGCGACAGAAATAGGCTGATCACCAGGCAGGGTTTGTGCGACATATTAATTTTCACATATATATTCGAAAAAACATATTAACCTTTATTCTTTATTTTTTTCCCGAACAAATATGAGAAAAATGGCCTGCTTCACAGGCGCTTCGCTTGAAAGGAGGTCTACATGCAACACAGGACCAACTCTAAAAGTAAATAGTGATGACAAAAGCATATGTTATGAAAGGCTGAGGGACACGCAATTCTGAGATCACCAGGCGTAAAACCAACTATGTCTTTCTGGTAGATCTCCATGTGAAAAGGTAAGAGGATTCCGTTTACATGTGCTTTTATAGAGCTCTTGGCATCATACGACAATGCTAATCACTATTCTTATCTCCTTAACTTCGGCTTGGCGCTCTTTTTTCCAGCAAGATATAAAGCATGTAGGAGTATGTGGAAGTTCAGCCAACTTTCCTCAAAAAACTTTCTCAGAGAAAATAGTTTCACTAACGTAGCTAAAGCAAAATAAGGTATGTATATGCCAGAAGTTGTGTATGTACGGTGCAAGGGCGAGTTTTCTCACTATGGACCTTGTATTTAGGAAAACAAAATGGACGAAATCACTCTCAATTGTCTTATCGTTCCTATAGGAAAACTTATGAATATCCCTTGTGTTAAAGTAATGCAGGCGATTACAGTTGAAAAAGATGAAAGTTATATCATGCTCGAGGCTAAAATTCAAAGCAGATTGGGGTTGAGATCCCACTCAAACTATGTATAATTCAAGCTGGAAGCAATAGTGAAAAGGTAATGGATAGTCGTACCCCTTTTTCCGAATATTTTACTGAGGAGCTTAAAGCAGAGCACTTCCATATCACTGTATACCCCGGTCAGAATAATTTTTTATATCATGTATTAGCGATATATTCGCAATTTTATGTATTGTAAGCCGACTTCTGGCAACATTTTTATTTCATAAATAAAGTATTATTATTATTGTACTGTACATAAGAAATGGGTCACGTATAATGGTGCGGTCCATGTAATATCAGGACTAGTCAAAGATGCTAAAGCATAAATCTAACATTTTTATCCGAGCGCGTCTAGCCTATATAAAAATGTCAGGTGATATGTGAGAAGAGTCTTCACGGTTAGGGAGGCGCAGTGATTAGGCGATTGTTGCACCTATGATGTAATGTGGCCGATCATACGGCAGGCTTGTAAAACAGTTGAATTTCTCACATATACCAGCTCTCAGTATTTTTTTCGCAAATAAAATTCTTTTTACTCTTGTCCTCACATACCGCACTTTGAGCCAATAACATTTCGCAAAAAATACTATATAAGCTGAAAACATGTCTATCACTTTGCTTTGCCTTGTTAAAGGAAATACTCTAGCGAACGCTTTTCCTGTCGATATTAATAAGGACCAACTTGTTGGCCACCTTAAAGAGGCTATAAAGGTGAAAAAACAAAATGACTTTGCTGGTGTAGACGCAGACAAGCTTAAACTATGGAAGGTGATGATCCCTAGCGATCAGGATGATCAATTAAGAAATCTAATACTTCAGAACAGTGACGAGCTGTTGGCAATAAATGATATAGGAGACTACTGGCCTACACCACCACCTAAAAAACATATCCATATTATTGTAAAATTGCCCCGTAAGTGTCTGGAGTTCTGGTACAGTCTCTAATTTTCGTCATTTGCCCTAGTAATAATAACACATATTCGTTTCCAGTTCTCAGCTTGGAAGAGGCGTTGTCGTGTATTCTGCCATCCATAACATATTCTACGGACTGTGTTACCTCGAAGACCACTACTAAGGCTGTAGGTGACCCACTGGCAAGTGTGCAACTTTGGGATAACTTTTTCGATAAAGTGAATAGCTTTCATTTCGACCAACAGCCGAGATTCGAGAGGCTGAGGTTTGTGATGAAAAAGGTACTAGTAGATGAAGAGGATGTTCGTAGTGTTTTAGATTTCAATATTTGTCAGATATTGAATAAACTTATGGGGCCAGACTGCGTATATTCAAGGCGACCTACTGACACTCCCGGCATACCAGACTTCAACTGTCATCTCATAGGTTCATTGATCTTGGTGATGGAAACTAAAAGAAAACATGTTTTAGAAGATATAGGGAACAGACATTTCCCGAGTTTTATAATACAAGTAAGGGCAAGAATGTGATTCAGCAAATCTATAATTATATAGAAGGAAACGAACTTAGATACGGTATTCTTACCACTTATGATAATCACTGGTTTCTATGCCGAGAACACACGAAGCTCTGGATCTCAAAAACCCTTTCACTTTAATCTGAATCTCCACCTGTTCTCAAGGCATATGCTTATCTAACTCGACAGGCGAAAGAGAATCCCAACTCTCCTAAACCTCAAGTACTAGTGCTGGCTCAAGGGGATAATAATTCACGAACTCTTCGATTAAACTCAAAATCATCATCCAGCTCTTCATTAACTAATCAGGCTTCCAGCACCTTTTCGAATCAACAATTATCTTCTAACGTCCCAGTAAACCAGCAAAATCTTAGCTTCACGGACTTCAAGTTTAAGGGTATACTAGGTAAAGGACGAAGTGGTAAAATACTCCTATGCGAGTTTCGTGATGATATGATTGCTTTGAAGAGTGTAGACTTATCGAAGGCCCCATCGTATGTCCTGGAAGAAATGCAAAAAGAAGTTGAGATTTATAAAGATCTAGCTGATATTCAAGGCAAGTATATCCCAAAGCTGGTCTGTTATGGATATTATGGAGGAGGCATGAGCTTCGTTATCGGCTTAACCATTGTTGGTATTATGTTGAGCGACCAAAAAATAACGGAACAGCAAAAGGCAAGGGCTATTAAGGGATTGGAAGCAATCCACAAACATGGCATCCTCCATAATGATATTTGGGAGGAAAATATCTTAATTAATGACAACGGCGACATCTACCTGATTGACTTTGGAATGGCAAGTCGGGAGGACACAAAAAAGAAGAGAAAGCTTTTCGAGGAGGAACAGCTCAAATTATCTCAATTGCTAGATAGATATATTGTGTAAGAATCTATTATTTCACAAATTCCTATTTCTTGCAATCTTAATTTCTTATAATTAATAATCATGTATTTTACAGACATTTCATAAAGAAGGAGGGACGAATTTCCAAGTCACGTAAATGTAAGGTGGTTAGTTAGACTGTAGGATTAGACATTAGTATAGACGTCATGTATCCTGGGCTACGTTCCAAACTATGTATTTATTTTTTGCATGTAATAATAAAAATTTTTCTTGGCATTTTTTAGCGAACTCAGTTCACCCAAAAAAACATATTTTTTTTTATTTTGAATGCTTATATACAGTGTATTAGTTAATACATATAGATTATATCATCTGAGCTTGAAGTATTGAAACAGCGTATCACTGAACTTGAAGCTGAAAATGCAGAGCTTAGAAAGGAGAATACTGAGATCCACGATCTTAGAATCAAGCTCTCGGTGTCTGATGCTAAAATAGCTGAACTTAAGCGTAGGAATAATGAGTTTCTAAGAGCGAATGCAGAATATAATGAGAGGCGTAATGCTGAAAATGCCAAACTCAAGGCTGAGAAAGTTGAGTTTAGAGATAGACTCACAAAAGTGGAATAGAATCAGACTCTACAAAACGCCTTAACGGCAAATGATAATTCTTTTAACAACAATTCATCTAACTTTGCTTCAGCGCCTTCGGCCAATTTGTTTGCAGAGCCAATGGTAACGCAACATGAGAAACCGTCAGTGGATGAGGAAATGGATACTCCATTACCTGAAGAACCGATACCAGAGGAGTTAACAGAGGTAATTGTATCAACTGTTAATATATCTGTTATGGATTAATGTGATCAGAAATCCTTGGAAGATAAGGAGACGGATGCTTTCTTGGATGAAGAATACAAGAAAAAGGTTAGCGATGAGATCAGACAGCGCAATAGAGTGAAAAAACTTTGAGACTTGGATTTACCTGGTACTTCTGATATCCCTTCGTTAGAATCATCCACAAGTTCGCATCCTATCCCTAATAATCCAGTTTTATCAGAATAAAATGCTAAAATAAAAGCACCTGAAATAGATATACAGCCTTTGATACAAGAATTGCTTATAGAACCTTTGGAAGAAGATTGTGTTAAGATTGTTAATGTGGAGGAGAGTGATCAATCGCCTGCAATCAAATTAGCCCATCTATATGAAAAAATGAAATTTGCTGAAATTAGGATTATACGAGCCAAACAAGATGAAATCATGAGCTGGTATTGCTATAGAAAGTATTTTGAAAAAAGACATAGTGAAATTTTACCTGGAATTCTGAAGAATGGAGTTATTACGAACAAAAAAGCCTATGAACTTGCGAGTGGGCAGATTTATGATGAAATGCTACAGTCGGGGGCTGGACATGCGCTTGAAGTACCGATAAAAAGTTTTTTTCGATACAGAGTCTGTGAAAAATATGTCCGCAGGCGAGGTATAAGAATGCTTTGAGAGGAGATATTAAAATGTCATTGCCACATTCGGGGCATGAATCTAGTTCTGAAAAATCAATATCTCCAACGGTTTCATCATCGAGACTTTTGAGGATATTATATCCAAGATTTCTAAGATTAACAAGAGAGGGTCTCTCAGATTCCGTAATACTACTCTTTTCTCTACCACCATAATCAACTATGCTGTATTGGAAAGGTAATAATGGATCACTATGATCTGCCTTCCTACATGAGCAGAGTAATGTTCCATCTTTATGGATTTTTTCTGCACAAGTCCGGTGGATCATATCACCACAAACATTTAAAACGAGCGATCTAGGCGGGTCTTCTGTCAAAATAGGGATATCACATTCCATACATGGCCCATAATCTGGGATAGCTTCGTTAGATTTAATCGATGAAACATCCAGCTCTTCACGAAGAATATCATCTGGGAGGTGTTTCAATATATGTAGTGCGAGTAATTTAAGGGCTTTGTTGCGTCCTAGCTGTACTTCATAAATATCTATATTTTGTGTATTGCTGATTGGGTCCGTATTTATTTCATCAGTAGTGGTCGCTTCTGTATTAACTAAGCTCGCTTGGTTCTCCATACCCGCTCACTGCTTACATATACTGTTTATGAGCATAGTGAATTATCGGGGCTAAAGATGGGCTTTTATAGCACTTGTAAATTTCGCAGGAGAAAAAATTCCCCGGATTTTCATTAGCAATTACGCACCGCATTTCGTCATCCATAATCCCCTTGCAAATCAATAAAAGAATGACGATAAAGAACAGGATTAGCATATACACCCCAAACCCCATATGCGAAATAATAATTGCCGGCAAAGATATCCATACCTGAATATTGTTTTGTAAGTATGATAATAGCGTGGCCAGAGACATGACATGCAAAAATAAATGCAACTTAAGTTGAAAAAATAATGTGAATATATATGCCAATCTTACGTCGCACAGCCCCTATTCCTTCGGCAATAATTTTACCGATATTGCACTGCGCATCTCAGTTGACCCTATCTCGCTTCAAGTTTCGATATAGCAATATAGCATTAGCTGAAAGTAAGATTAGCCAAATTATTATTATATCACTTTACATATGTAAAAATACATCAAAGATTGACTTCAGAACTCTTTAACATATACGCAAATATTATGCTTTATTCTATTTGAAATTCATGCTTTTTGCTTCTTACATTTTAAAATTGAGAAAATATATAATTATATTATTGTTGGATGATTAAATTATTTAACAGTGGACACTTTCAAGATGTTTTATGAGTTCATAAGTGTTGTTGAAAGCATTATTACAATAAGGACAATTGGCTTGAACTTGAGGTCTTGGAGATGCTGGCGGTGGCTGATCAATAAACCCATATATTAATGATAGAGTTTATAGCATAGAAATAAAGAAATAAACAAATAAGGAATAGCAACGTACTGGATCAATAATTCTATCAATTAAAGACATATCCAACTCAAAACCTGGCAAAACATTTTCACCGCTAATATCTTCCCATCCAGGATTACTACGTCTCCTACCCCTCCTATATATGTAAATTCGCTTATGTTGGGGATCGATCAACCAGCCAAGCTGGACCACTGTGCTTTGTATTATGAGTTCTTTTTTAAATCTTTCATCCACTTCCTTGAATTTTGAATTATCTGTATCCTCTCCGATATTAGCAACTTCAACAAGAAATGTAGGGGTGAAGGGAGCACCCTGAAAGGACCAAGCCTGTGCATCAGTCAGCCGTTGGACTATATATTGGGGCATGAAAGCAACGTCTGGTGCCCTAATCGCTGTTTCATGATCAACGGTAAAATCAAATCCACCCTGCGATGAAGTGACACCACCACCTTGTTGAGTTTGTATATTCCAGTTGGCCAACTGCCAAGTAATTTCTGCAACCACTTGTTCTCTACGGCACGGTGTTTGTTGTTTGGGTACTAGTTTTCCGTTTTTGTCAAGCTCAAAAAGGTTAACAGGGTGTCCGTCGATTTCCAAAGTATAATTTTTCAGCCGGTCATTGATATACTCGAACTCTTCCAGAGTGTAGGAGCGTTCGAGGTCTAAATTATTAAGGTCTATTTCTTGGTTACAAGCTCTGGGTGCTTCAGCCATGTTTTCCATGTTTTGTAAGTGAGAATTTGAGAATGAGAAAAAAAAATTTTAATTTCTCATGTTGCATCATTTTATTGATTGATTGATTGATAAGGCAGATCGAATTGTCTAACTGTTCACGCCCGAAAATAGAAAATAGATCAAAAATATCTTACCTCTAATGGACCTACTTTCTGGAGATTCTGCTACTTTTTAATATCTCTCGAACTCAAAAAGAAGTAATGGTAGTTGAAATTTCATCGAGAAAGAGGAAGAGAAAGAAGATATAAAAAAATTTTTTTTTCTGACGCACTAACGATTGGGTCATTTAGCTGAACCTCACGTGACTTGGCGTATTAGTTCTAAAATGATGCTGTCACAAGGGCGCAGTGATATCGTGACATATCAGGTGAAAAGCGTAAAGATTCTTTATTAATAAAAATAAATAACTATCCTGCTGTACACGGTAAAGCTTCTATGCTACAATTGCGAACTTATTGCTTGAAGTGTTGCAGGTGAGACAATATTCCAACTTATCTTGAGAATAGAACTTCACTAATTCAGGATCATAAGGGAGCTGATTCCCATTTTCGCAGTACCATGAGCCATGTAATTCATAATTCCCATGTATTCCATCACAAATAGGACATGGTGAGCTCCACGGCTGAGATGATATAAAATCATAATTATCAATCCCTCTGAAACTGTTTCGGAATTTCAGGTATATGAAATGCTTTAAGACAAACTTGATAATTAATTCTGGATCGGGTCTGACTTTGAAAGTGATAGGCTTGAAATCAGAGGCTTGGCCGGAGGCGCTAAAGCAAGGTTCTGCTGATATATCTATCACAGCTTCCGATAGTTGCCATGGCTCATTTCCAGTTTGTTTTTTATATCTTTTGTATAATTTGGAACGAATCTTATCTGTCAAAATACTTGGTAATCCACTTAATTTGGCATGCCAGTCTAGATATTCGGGGTTAGTATTTTATCAGACTCAGTCATTTTTCCTTTTTATATGACTGCAAACAATTTAAATCCCTTTTCTCATATAGACTTATTCATTCGAAAAAAAAGATTAAAATTCCCAGACGATCCCAGAGGGATCAGACTATGCAACTATCTCAATTTCACGCTGTTCACATTTAATAAAGTAAGATCCGGTATTATACGTACCTTCTATTTTTTCATCATCATGACCTAATTTGCATAATGGGCAGATGTAGTCCTCGCATGTTGTCTTATCAGTAATCCCATAATAGTCGAAATTTTTAATACTACATTCTCTATATAGATTAGGATATTGATCCAATATCTTGTTGCGAAAATAGGTGCGGTCATAAGTTGGATTAGTCCTAGGAATAGGTGGTTGAGATGCAGGTGAAATATTTACTTTAGACTTTGAAGTATTAGTATGTGACAACTCAGAATTTTTCTTATCACTTTCTGAACTGAGATCAGGATGTGACAATTCAGAATTTTTTTCATCACTTAGCAAAGTCTCTTTTGGCTGAGCACAGGTGGACGATTCTATCTTAATGCTGTAGTCAACTGACATATTATCTATGATATACTGAATGTCTTTATACGTTATTTTTGAAATACTGCTAACAGAGAATGAATGTATCTGATAAATTTTATCCATGCCTATTGCATCAAAAAGCTTCCAGAGTTTCTTGGCCTGCTTGATTCTTTTCCATAAAAGTGCATCAGAAGTATCTGCAGGAAGCTGAGCTCTAACTTCCTCATTTAAAATTCTACTAACAGCGTTGGATTCTGGATCAACTTGTTTTTCAGATGCTATCTCACTTTGTCTCTGGATAAGAGCTTTTCCAAATTGACAGTAACGTATAATAGCTTCTTGGACCGCACGATCAGCAAGGATTACGGCATCACAAAGTTTTTCATATAAAAGAGAAAAGGTTGGCGTTCCCATCTCTACTGCTAAGGGATCACAGCTTCGTACTGTTTGCTCTAGGCAAACATCCAAAGAATTCAAGCCTGGCTCATCTATAATATTGGAACAATTGGTGCTTGAATCCGATTCTCTTTGGAAAGATACTGAAGGTATCGAATCATTCCTGGACACTTCCTGAATGAATTTTTCCCTTTGTTCTTTCTTGCGAAGTGTCTTTTTGTCAACAGATACCTGTTTACCTTTTTCAGGGGAGACGGATTCCACTTTTGCAAGCTTCTCAACCCGCTTTCTCTGCCTTATCCCATCACTAACAATTTTCTTATTCACTTCATCCAGAAAAGAGTCCATCATCTTTTCCTCTGATGACTTGGAATTGACAGATATCACTTCATTTGCTACTATGGAATCTGGTATGTCAGCAGATTTTTCGGGAGAGGAATCCTTTCGTGGATGTCTAGAATCTTCTTCCAACTTTGCAACTCTAGACTTAAGCTCAGCATTCTCAGCATCACGCCTGACATTTTCAACATCACGTCTAGTATTCTTGACGGCAGTATCTATTCTAGCTTTTTCTAATTCCTTGATTCTATTCCTGAGCTCAGCCCTTAACTTTGTAATCTCATCCTTGGCCTCGTCATACTTGACCTTAAACTCAGCATTCTCAGCCATAAGTCTGGCGTTTTCTTGCTTAAGTAAGTCCATCTCAGATGTCATTTTCAAAAATAATTTTATACACTGTATATTTACATTCAAAATAAAAAATTCACGTGATTCCACTTTGTGAACTTAGTTCACGAAGTTTTTTTCAATTTTAAATATGAAAGTGAGCATGAGTAATAAAGAAATGCCTTGTAATTAGTTATTAGTTAGAGAGACCCGTTTCTGTAAAAATTTGACATGAGATCAATATTGTGCCTTCCATGCATTCAAAATACGAAAGGGTGTAATAATCCCACAACCATGTAAAGGATGTGGACAAGACACTAAATCAAGCGTTCAGCTTTGTGTCTAATGCGGACAAGGTAAGGAAAGAGCATACATATATTATAAAAAGAAGAATATGAGAGGAAATGAGTAATTAAACATACCATTTTCATAAGTACTAATCATCTATTATCACTTTCATAAATGCTAATTTCAACAATCCATATGCAAGAATCATTTGACATACATAGAAGAGTACTTAATTTACTAACTGGTCGATGGATCAGCCCGAATGGAAAGCTATTCCAGAAGTTGATTCGCGAAGGTTATAAATATGCTGATAGACTTTCGGATTATTTAGAAGATATTGGGACTATGTATGTTGGTGAATTCGAATTGGACCCTTTAGTAGACTTCTACCACCCACTATCTATTTTAGCGAGTAGAGCGGATATTCGTAAAAACTTTCCTATTAGTGTAGAATCTGCTGTTGTAGGAGGAATGAGTTTATTTACCCTGGAAAAAAATAAACGATCCTCACTTCAGAATCTAATCCGGATGAATTATTCCAGTGATAACTTGTTCACACTAATAGGATTAACTTGGGAGCAAGAAGAGACCAAAGCTTGGAGGGATGACGTACTTAAAAAATTCCTCTATCACCCAAATTTAGTACTTTTAAGATATAAACTGAATGCATTATATGACGCATTCACAAAAGCAGATGTTTTAGAGTCGGAGCATGTATTAGCTCTATCACAGCTACTCGGTTAAAATTCGATTACAATAAAAATTTGTACAAACATTCACACACATCGAGGCATATGGGGTGATTGGACTTGCCAACTATTTATATTCCAATATTACCAAAATATATTAAAGATTGTAATTATAATAAGTCGAATAGAATTTTTTTAATATTCGTTGCACCTATACGTGATACTTTTAAAAAAAAATTGAGGCACGATATTTTTATAATTTAACTATTGCCATTTTCATCAATTTCGAACATGTACAAAGAATTTAGTATCATACTTATTTTTTTTAATATGTTTGTGCCATGCTATACAAGTTTGTTAAACTATACTGGTATTTTAATCACACCAGAGATCTCACATTTTAATATCTCGAATCTCGATACATTTAGAATTAAATTTACAATTACTCTTCTTGGGAACAATTACGGTTTTAATAAGAATATTATTTATAATTATATAATAGCTATAGAAACAGAAAGAAGGAAATATCTTCTGATTACCTAGATTTTGAAGCTATTTAATGTGTAAGAAATGATACTATAACTATTTGGTCCAATATCTATTAAAATAATTAAATGAACATACATCTTTGATAATTAAATGAAAACAAATTTTTTTTTATTAAAGTTTATGACATTTGCATATTCTAATACTCTTAATTCTTTAAATTTGAAAACGATGCCACTCACTGTGTATTATTACATCTATATTAAATGCCTCGTTAGCAATAATTTGGAGAACTTGACAATGAGATATTTTTATCATGTATTAAAGAATTTCGGCAAAATGTAACAAGAATTACTATGCAAAAGTGATCAGCATGTAACAATTGATCATGTACATGTGATTTTATATAAATTATTCTTTCACCCTTCTTGTTCGAGTTATACGACCATGTTCACAAACGGAATAGTCCATAGCACATGATGATGTTCGCCTAGCTCGATATAATTTTGCCTTATCAATTAATATTTCGTGATGGATTTTCCGTATATGATGTAAAGTTTCCTATTAAAAAAAAAACTAAAAGTTCATAAAACCACAAAAATACAACTACTGACTGAGTAAACAAGATACTGTACCTTACCTCAACACGTAATAAGGATATAATAAGTTTCTCTATGACTGGCAAGCAATCAATTGACGTAGGTAGTTTAATCTTTTGTAGTAAACCTAAACGCCATACGCCTTTAGATTTCCAGTCTAGTCCATATATATTATAATTATAATCTAAAATGAAACAGATGAAGTTATGTTAAAATGAAGCGAAGAGAAAAAAAGATAAATTATTGAACTTACTATATGTATGTACTCCAAGAGTGAAGAGTTTATGAAACTTGTTTGGCTCTATGCCATTGTTTTCAATACCTTCATTTATTAGCACATCTCGTAACGAAACAGCTAAATCAACTTTGTCCATCCATTTTTTCCCTTTTGCTGCGGGAGGAAGACCCCCAGATCTTAACCCAATTAACATCTCGAATTGTTCTTTACTGATTCTAAAATCAACCTTTTGACCAATTAAGCTTCTGTCAGTAGGTTTTGTTTTCAGATTTGTGATTACAGACGAAGCAAGGCCTTGAATCTCACCCCTGTGCATTACAAAATAAATGGAATTGGTGAATATATGTAAATAATAATTACAACATACGATAAAAACTTACTCTTCATAATGATAGGTTTGATCAAAGGTCAATATTCCTTTTGTAGTCATATTTGTAAAATTGCTTCCGAATGCGGCTTCAGACATTGGCAATTGTAAACGTTGAAGGCTGTATGCACTATTAAATTTAAATTTGTTAAATAATATCTTTAAAAAGACCCTATTACTATGAATAGGGGAAAACTTACTATGTCTGAATAAATCGTCTAATTGCATTTACTTTTATATTGTCCTATAAATGGCAATAATTAAACCCGTAGTTCCATAAAAATAAATATAAATTATATACGTACTTTAATCACGCAGCTTTCAATGCCTGTAATTAAATCAGAAGGTTTCTTCTTCAATACCTAATATAAAGGAAAGAGAATTTAATCAATAAATCAAAGATAAATATTACAAATTCGCTAACCTCAGCAATTTGATCCATCAATTCATAGAAGGGTCTCTCTTGTTCATCTCCCAAATCGCTTAAATTTACATTATTATTAAAATCCCTAATCATCTCATTCCATTCATCATCTGTAAACAAACTCTTTACTTCTATATCTTCTCCAGAAAGGTCTAATATTCCAAAATAAGCCGGACTATTAATAATAATATCAAAAGTTAGAAAGTTGGCGCTGAAAAATATATTTTACGCATATTAAGTGTAACTTACTAAAGATATGCCTTTGCGCGAGGAATTTTCTCACGGTATTTGGATAATATTTCATTAACATCTCTCCCACTTGACAAAATCCATTTTGTACTGGAATCATCCAAAGTCTAAAAGAAAAGATGAATATTAGCGTTAGGTAAAATGGAAAAGAGATAATAACATAGATGTTAACATACCAACCTTGTCTGTTGAGATTTCTTCTTCGCTGTATTCTTCATGATTCAGAAATACCATATGATCATCGTTATTGTTGTCTGTTAATACGATGTTAGGTTCTATACTAAATACTTCGTTGTTGTCAAAATCTAACTCATCATTTGGATCTGCTTCTGATTTGTCATCGAAAGGTGGCATATCTACATCTTGTTTTTTTGTCGCTCGTTCTTCCTCAAAATCATCCGTGTCTTTCCTTTTCCTTTCTAGTAACTGAATATTCTGATCTAACATATTAGATCTTATTTGGCAAGCATTTTGCTCCTAGATGGCTTGCAACAAACGAGTTAGTAACAATGACTTCATTAAAGCTTATGAAATGTAGATAATCACTTCTTTTTCCTGTAATATAATTTGTGCTGTATTAGTAGCGATTTTTTCTGCTCGGACGTTAAGGCTGCTCCAGTATTGTTGTGCACTCAAAGTATTAATAAAGTTGTCGAAGTTGCAAAGCAATCTTTTAGCTGTCACGGCATGTATACCACCCTTAGATTCAATAATTTTTAATGATTTGAAGAGAGCTTTTTCTGCGTCTTTCTTTTGAGAGAATGTAAATTCGGCTCTTTTGAAAAATCTAATGACATTAATGTATCCAGAAGCTAAAATTTCCTCTAATAATTTTACATAGTCCTGCCGATAAATAATAAAAAATAAATATCACGAACTATTTTTAGCAGGCTCAACTGTGAGCTATGATAACTATAATACAAACCATAATGTGGAATTGTGGACTGTAAAGAATATAAGGATATAAAAAAATGTTAGTAAACAGCCAAAGACAATCCCTCCACATCATTTTTAAACCCGAAACCTTCTCTGGATAACATAAGATCGGCACATTAAAGTAACAATAAGTGCAATTAAAATGCGCCCGTTTCGAAGACAAAGCCTGAGGAAGAGCGTATCCCCCCAGGATTTACAGGCTTAGGAACCGCTGGACATAGGGACCAGAACCTTATGCATCTTTCGAAGATCGTTATGCAACCATTTCGAAGACAAAACCAGAGGAAGAACGTATCTCCTCAGGATTTACGAGCTTAGGAAACGCCAGGTTTACAAAACACGATAGAAAACTCCAAACTTAACTTTTTCGCCAACAAAAAAGCTAAAAGAAAAGAATGACGATCTGAACGCGTCAACGGGACTTTTTATCATAGATGCGGCGCAGTAATGACGATTAAATTTTTAAAAACGCTCATACCTTTTTGAAAAAAAAACTAAATATTATTGGTTAAAAAAATCTTATCTAGGGCACTACTAGAGCTGGTAAATGGTAACTGCCTAACTGAAGGCAGGTAAGGTTTCTTAACTCGTTTTTCTTTGTTTAGATTTCCTCTTACAAATAATCCCTTTTTCCTTCATGATTTACCAAAACATTTATCATTCTTTCGTTTTTTTACTGAAGTATTCAAAAAATATATTCAACAAAATTTTCAGTCTTTACAACAATTATAACTGTGAAAGTAAGGGGAATATTGGTTAGAGACGCCAATATTTTCCAATAAAGAAAAAGAGAGAAGATACGTCCCGAAACGTATATTCTTGTAATCAAATTACTTGCATAACGAAGATGCATCTACTGGGCAAAACGTTCGAAAGCGCATATCATATAGTCAAATTGTTTGCGTAACTCAAACCAACGAAGATTAAACCTACTGGACGAAACGTTCAAAAACGTGAATCTTATAATCAAAATAATCATAGTCATAGCGCCAATGATCTTAATTTACGTTCGAAAACGCATATCTTATAACCAAATTGTTCATAGTCATAGTGCAACGATGATCTTAATTTACGTGATCAAACTATTGCTTTACATTCTTGTTAAGAATACATTGAATCAAACCATTCAGCCGCCATGCAAGAACGCATCAATCCTAAGACCTATATCTAGCAAAATAAACAACAAGGCCGAACTAAGAATTCGATGAACTGGCCAAACTCTTGACTACTTGTAACGCGAAACTTAAAGACATCACAAAACTACTTTAGAGAGAGTCCACGTCAATGTAGTTCTTAAATTATCTGTGAATTAATGGAAAGAAGTTCTCGACTGACTCGACGTTATAAAAAAAAGCTTGGCCTTATACACTTATAATGATTTATTTCGATCGAAGTATAAATTTCGAATAAAAAATATTTCCTCTTTCCCGATTCCCTTTCCCTATATACAGTGTTTTTAGTCTTTGATTTATGATAAATAAAGCATTAAAAAAAAAAAAGTATAAAACTGTGTTTGGTGACCGGCATCACACTAAAAACTCTGTAAACCACAAAGAGGATTTTGGTATGCGATGTACTCTGATGATTTCATAACTATTACGATCCGACGTTTAAATCATCCTGATATTACTCTGATTCTTTATGATGAGTAATCATTGTTCTCACTAGCCTTGCCATTGGATAATTTGTATTCCGAAATATTACATTTCTCTTGTGAAGAATATCTTTAAAGATATATTACGGGATGTGATCATATTCCATAATCTTTTTGAGCAATAACAATAAGTATGATTTGTGGACAACTTGGGAAATTAGTGGTAACTATATTTATATGTCACCGTGTAATCGCTGTATAATAACATGGCGATGAAATATTGATTTTATTTTTATACATGACTATATGTAACGTCACTAACCAAGCTTTCAATATTAGGATAATCACAGCGCTCTGTATCTAAACATGTAATATTGTCTTTTTTAATGAAGAATATTTATTCCAGAAGTTAATATTAACAAACTCTGTAGTATATAGCCGATTTTTTGGAGGACCATCACTTAGATGTTTATAAGCAAATAACAAAACGAAAGTCTTTTGATCACGCTGCGGCATCAGCCAATCCCATATAGTTAATACAGATTACAGGCGAGAACTGAGGCGTTACATGAATATAGATGCTAAATTTTTTTAAAAAACAGACTATTCTAAACTAAATACGAACAACCTAACCCCATGACATTGTTACTCAGAAAAGTATATATAAGTGTCTCATTAAGCGAAAAAATCTTATCAATATGCCAGACGAACTGTTAACAAAAGAGCTTTAGAATTACTACAAAAGCCAGGAAAGAAAGAACATTTGGAGGAGTGTGCCAAAAAATCTTCTAACTGCATTAAAAGAGTGGGAAGAAGCCGGGGAGCCATTTGAAGACGACGACGAATTAGGTATTTATTTATAATCACTAGAACACTTACATAATCTCAATATACTAAAACGTTATCTGTCAAGCTTCTAGCATTCATAGAATATAAGGAAAGCAAAGCTTATAAAAATGGAGAAAGACCTGGATCATTTGGTGAAATTCTTAGAACCAATTCAGCTGGTAAGTCCATCTAATGTTCTATTTATAATATCGAACTGTTCGAATTCTCATGTTTTTTTAACTCTAAGGAAGATTTGAAAATTCGTCTAGGGTTTACACCAACAAGAATGATAAGACCGGGAAGGAGAGCTCGCCTCTTACCCCCGGAGTCAGAGAACAATCCGATTCCACCACATATAATAGTGGTAAACATCGTGATAAAAAATTCTGAAACCAAATCAATATCCAACTCTATCAATGCACACGATCAGAATGCTAAACGATCAGAATGATTTAAAGCTTTTGAGCTATATTGGTAAATATGTTAACATAAGAAAATATAAAGAAAATGAAACAAGATTAAATTCTCCCGCTAGTATTGGTGATCTGGTTCACAAATGTGAATCTTTATATGCTTTAATTTACCAGAGCAGGGTCGTTTGATATTATTACATATTAGAGAAGTTTTGTTTCGCGCAATAGCTTTTTTTAATGATCATACGGCTTATGCAAATTTTCTAAATATTTTTTTTAGTAACTACAAAGCTAGCATTAGAAATGATGTAATATAAAATTTTTTAATATCATAACTATTAGAAACAATGTAATAGTATTAATATAAACTATGGTATGCACAATGTATTTAGTGACCGGTGTTTGATAACAAAAATTATGTATGACTTGTCAAACAAAAATAATATATAAAATTCTCGATGCGATCCTATGTATTCCTAAGTCCAAGAATAGATATCTTTGGTCTAACAATAATATCCGCTGTTTCTGATTTCGAGCGGTTCATTCCATTTGTCTTCTCCTGTAATCGAACATATATGTGTTTTTTGTTTTCTTGTAGCTAAAAAAATTGATGATATCTGTAGTCTGATGATTATCTGCTCACCATTTCTCTCTGCCGCAATCCAACTTAATATGCCTCTTTCGTTTTCAATTACTAAATACCAAGCAAGATGGTAATAGTGCGAATTTCGTCAAAAACATAAAAAGTAATCTACTGCATATCATTTATATGTGGTTGACAATTTAGCGAAACCTGAGTGATCATTAATATGAGTTTGCGAGATAAAAAATTTCAACGTTGGAGATTATTATGGATAATCGTATCACTTCACCACTGAAACATTAAAATAATACTTAAACGGAATATCACAACAATCGTATGTTTACTAATTAAGATCAAATACCAACTGATACAATGAGAATTTTATTTGTATCTTCTGGATGATACCTGTTAATCATAGACGATGTCTCACGCCTTGCAGATACAACTCTCACAGCGTTGGAATGTTTCGTCCGCTAAGTGTTTCATTACGATGACTCTATTGTTCCATGAAGATACATTCAAGATACATTCCAATTTCCAACTTCAAACACATCATCTTGAACCAAAAACTTCCGATACAATAATTACAAATATTTGAAGCAATTTCGTCTATTACTTCCACCCTACTATTCTACTATTCCTCATATGAAGAAAAGCTTTTATGATACAATTTTTTTGCTATTAAAAGAAAAATTCCAATATATTTTAACTATTACTATTCAAGATATGGAAAGTATATTAACGGGTTATTTTTTATTTTTATTTTTATTATATAGACATCAGATCCGGTATTAACTTGTTATTGATATCGTACAAGATAATAAAATCGTTCTCTCTATCGTCACGGGCAATTCAATGTATTATAAATTGTATCGAGAATTATAACCGGGGGACGTTAGAAAAAATTTGTTCTTATATCCTCCTAACTGAATCACTTGATCTCCAATTCCATTGTTCTACGAAGAATAAGCAATGATAATATAGAGAGCTTAGTTATACAATATATCCAGATAAGATAGCTTTCACTATTTGTTGTATTAATGCGAACAGTAGTGGACTTCATAAATAGGGATGTTTGTCAGCCGGTACTGATATCAACCGAATGCTTGATCTGTTAACGTACAGACTACAGAGAAATAATAATGTTACTGTTATTTTTATTGTATTACATGACAAGTTTCCGGAAGAAAAATTCTGAAGACAATTTCGATTACCTTAATCAGTCCAATAAAGAATCTATGTCCAAGATGTAGTACATAAAGGTAGAAGAGTGTGTTAGAATGATTTCATCTCGTTCATTTGCTCTTTTTCGAAATAACAGTAACCTCATACCTGAAGGATACGGTTGATGATGTCAATTAATAAAATAACAAAAAATAAAACGTACTGTTTTTTCCAGTGTTTCAATGGTCGAAATATCCCCAGTAAATAATTATCGTTAAATCCCCTCTATTTCGTTATGAATTGGTATGATATTGTGTCCCGTTGAAGGCGTACTACTATCCTTCCACGGCAAATAGCAATAAAAACGTTACTTTATTTCGAATTTTCCCGTTTTGTAAGTTAACAATAACTATTATTAATACTGAAATTAATCGATCCTAACAGTATTATCCCCCGTTGACGCTACCTTTTCTTCGAAAAGTCCGTTGTACACTAGTAAGTATACCAGTGTCATCTTTGAGTAAACATCTATGACAGGAACGTATATGTAAGAGCAATCAAGACTATAGAGTCAACATCTTACCAGAAATTTAGACATTTAAGAGATAGACCGCATAATGTACTATATAGCATTATAACGAATAGATAACTATTTGATAAAATTATTTTTTTAACATAAATATCTTTTGAGTATCACCGAATATTTTAGAAACTGAATTCAAATCGGAAATTGAAAAATCCGTTAATTTCAAGATATGGTAATGTTCCTGTGATGTTAAACTATCTTATTTGCATGAGTGGTATACTTTAAAATAAAGAATCTTTTTATTTTCCTGTAAATGAATCTTCTGTCAGAAGTCGGAACTGTATTATTTTATGGTAAAATTTTAGAAAATTTTTACAATTTATATAATTTATATTAATCACTTGCAATTTTACAATACATTTAACAACTTATTAACGCGGACATGTGTATGCGTTATGATTTGTAGCATTGATCACTTTGAAAAATATTATATTTCTTTACTATTTTGCTGAAAATAAAACACATAAAACTGATAATTAGTTTTCATCACACATTTCTTCTTTTTATTCCCGCAAAATTGACTCGCGAATTTTAATTAATGATGTAAAAACATCTCGTCTTCCATTTGGTTCAGCGAGATCATAACCTGTCTTCAATCCAAATTATAATCTTCTGATTTTCTGGTAAACCCTCTTCAAAGTCTGCTGAAGGGATCTCGGCCTTATAAAATGTGACGTATGTAGATATTGCACGAACCGCGAATATTGTCTGGTTATATATCTCTCTTCACTCTCTTCATCCTCTCGAATCTCTCCACCCTTAATTTCATATGTTCTGACTACCACGAGTCCACAAGAGAGAATATTCTAACGATTTGCACTCCTCCATAGTCAGTGGCCATTCCGACAATTAAAAAAGTATTATGAATTGACGAAAATAAAAACTTGTTAAATAATTAACGACATACGACTTTTATAATAAGATGAGAAAAATCCACAAATCCATTCTCTTGAGACTTTTTTATCACCGCGAAAGCTAAAGTATAAACACATCATAATAATAAAGACTATTCTATAAAAACCAACCTAATTTTAAGAGGCCAAGCATTAAAACCAACAATGCGAAGCAAATAATTCACCAACGAGTCAGTGTTAAATTTCATCGTTCCTATTTTCGCACCTGGGTATGCATATGTGAAGCCACGCAGTTCAGTTTTTAATAAAGGGCAAAAGGTCATCATTCGTAATTGGATTCTTTTCTCGATTCCTAAGTTTATTAACTGAAATTTTGACTTGTCAGCAAGTCTCTGTTAATGTCATCAAGAATATACTCTTGCATTGGTAACTTGATAATTATTGAATTATCAGTATTAACAGTTAGGTACAGTTAGATAAACATTAAACATATAGCGTGATACGTACTATTAACATCAGATATCACATTTTTCTGGGCTCTAGCCGCTTTAAGCTCACATTAAATGCCTTTACAGCTCGTGTTGTAAAATTGGGTACTGAAGAAGGAATGCATATTATCTAAGCCATAATCATCGGAACTGAGCCAAAGTTTTACTAATGCAGTAGAGCTTTCACATTCAATTTCGGCAATTTTTCGATTTCCTCCACGTTTTGTAGACAGTAACACAACAGTACGAGAGAGAAATTTTTTTTTCAATTCGTGGTACGATTCATTTGTAAGATTTCCAAATATATATAACTTGGCTTGGCAAGCCTCATGCGCCATAAAAAAAAAAAAAAAAAATTAAATTTTAAAGTACCGTAAAACATCAAGTTAAGCAATTAAGCATTAAGT